TGCTCTGCTGAAATACAACTTTTTTTTTGCAGTAGGGTATCTCACTAAGATGCCTGCTGTAGTGTCTGAAATCTTCAGGACTGTGTGGCTGACAGGCTGTCAACTGTTGGAGGAGATAGCAGTGAGAATTATCTGTACTCATCTGCATATTTTGCTTATCTTTTTTAAGGAAACTAGATCCTGCACTATCAGCTTGCAAACACAGATGGCTTGTTTTAAGTTATGTGACTCACGAGGCTGCCAAAGCAATAATGTTTTGTAGCACTTGCATTTTGATTTCTAAACAGGGTTTTTTGGAGTGGCTGTTTTGGTTGCATAGCATCTCATCTGTGGGGAATCCCTCCTTGTGATGAAGATTTCTTGGTTCTTGTTATAAAGATCAAATAGCTGAAACTCACCTCTAATGAGAAGTGACTTTCATTTCCTTTTTCTTTCTGATGAAGTGGGAAAGAGCCAGGGATTATTTACAGCTTCTGTATTTAGTGTAAAGCGTAATGGGTCACTTCTCCATCAGGAGTTGCTTTTGCAGTTTGAAATACACTGATACCACATGGGAAACCACTTTTCCCTTTGCCTGTACAAGTGCCAGGCTGTATCAAGCTCCTCACATATTTTAAGCTGGTGGTTTCATTTCATAGAGTCCCAGAATGGTTTGGGTTGGAAGGGACCTTAAAGATCATCAAGTTTCAACCCCCTGCATGGGCAGGGACACCTCCCACCAGCCGAGGCTGCTCCAAGCCCCATCCAGCCTGCCCTTCAACACTGCCAGGGCTGGGGCAGCCACAGCTTCTCTGGGCAACCTGGGACAGGCTCTCCCCACCCTCAAAGCACAGAATTTCCTCCTAATGTCTAATCTAAATCTCCCCTCTTCAAGCTTTTGATGCAGCCCAGGACACAGTCTTGTCTGTCTTTGGCTATTTGTTGCTGCCCTGTTCCCCTCTTTCATCAGCACAGCCACATTGTGAACCATATTGAGGAACTGATCTGGTGAAACTAACCCAGCAAAAGAGAGGTGGTTAGTTTTCATCCAGATCAGTTCCCCAGTGTGAATCTCTGAGCAGCTGCACAAGTGGTTATTTTTGGTGGTACAGATGAGGAGGGTGATGCAGCAGGGCAGTCTGGCTGATGCTGGTGGTAGCTGAACTACAAGACAGTGGGTTTTGTGTTTCCAGTCTTCTAATATCTTGGGGAAAAATGATATGAATCACATAGGAGGTCACACTTAATAAAGATTTGAAAATTCCCTCAAAATTTGTCACAGAAGAGCTGCCAGCCCTTGATGAAGGATTTTAGAGCCAGTTTAAATTGTATTTTGGATACATTTTCATAGCTGATGGCCTCCTGGCTAAAGCTAATTACTTTGGTCAGGAGAGGTTAATTAACTCTGCTGCCTCTGTAGAGTTCTGACAAAATCTAAATAATGCAACATAATATGAGTGATAATGTAGTGGGGAAACGAGGGTTTATTTGCAGGATCCAAGTCCCTCTGTCATCATGACCTCATACTAAAGAATGTGAACAAGAAAATTGTCCATGTAATTGGAACCTTGTTCCCTATCAGTGAGGCTAAATGGACAAGTAATGGGACAGGAGGGAGGAAGAGAGTGGTGACTAAGCTTGTGATTTAAATGGACATTCTTTAGCTGTTGCATGTTGTGTCCTGAATTGTGTTGTGGTCTTACAGTTCCAGTTTAATGTTCCTCTTCCAGCTGGTTTGGGAGAAGTGAGACTTTAGACTTCGGGATAAATTCCAGACTTTGAAGGGTGCAAAGAAGTCACAAACCATGGAGATAAGAACTCTGCTCATGTCCAGAGAAGCAGCTGTAGGTTATGACACTCTACAGCTTTTTCTTAACCTCATTGCATACAGTGAAAGATGACAAGCTTGTTTGGTTTTGCTTGAGGGCTACTTCATTGTAAGACTTTACTTACACCAGTTGCACAATTAGTTTGTAATCCTAAAAAGACCTGGAGAAAGTTGCCCTCTTTGTTAGATGCCATGTGGTCTGTTCTTGGTTTGGAGGGGATTTAAAAAATAAAATATGATTAAAAAATTAAGGGATGAATGAGTGTGGTAGCTGATTGCTTTGAATGCTACTGAAGTTAATTAAGGGGGAGATAAGGTACATAAAACTCTGAAACAATTCTATTCTTTATTAGGGGTTGGAAGGGACCTCCAAAGATCATTGAGTCCAACCCTCCTGCCAGAGCAGGACCAAAAAAACAACCAAACAAAACAACAAGAACAAACCACAAACAAAACGAAACAAGAAAACCTAGGGCAGATCACTCAGTCATCCAGACAGGTCTTGAAAGTCTCCAGAGGAGACTCCACAGCTTCTCTGAGCAGCCTGACCCAGGGCTCTGTCACCCTCACAGTCAAGAAGTTCTTCCTCATGTTGAGATGGAGCTTCCTGTGGTCGAGTTTGAATCCATTGCCCCTCATCCTGTCATAAGGCACAAGTGACAAGAGGTTGTTCCTGCCTTCTTGATGCCCTCATGTATTTATAGACATTATTAAATCTTCCCTCAGCCTTCTCCTCTCCAGACTAACCAGCCCCAGGTCTCTCAGCCTTTCCTCATCAGACAGATGTTCCAGTCCCTTCATCATCCTCATAGCCTCCTTTGGACTCTCTCCCCTGTCTCTATGGAACTGGGGAGCCCAGAACTTTTACTGGGGTGGCAGTGTATGTTGTAAGAGACTTCTTAAGGAGTGTTGAAGTTGCTTATAAAAATGGGCCAACTAGAGCACCCAGCCTTGAGGTTAGACTTGAAACAACATGCAAGATCCAGATAGTGTTCTTTGAAGTGAGACTTAATCTTTGTGTTGTCATTTTATATACCAATTTCTAATGAAAGAAGGCCATGTAGTTCTGCAGTTGAGCAGCTTACAAGTTGTTTTCTTTTTAAAAATTTTGTATTACAAGTATATACTAGACATATCTGGGCATTCCTATTTCAGCTCTAGTCTAACTCATAAACAGACTTTGCAGAATCCACTGGTGGTTTTGAGTCTGTCACATGAACAAAAATCTAATATTCCTCTTACATATTTCCAGGAAGGAAAACTAATATATCACTTAAGTGATATGAAGTGATACAAAGTGTAATACTGTGATTCCAAACCAGATAAGTAGTCTTTCAACTGCTGTTTAAAAGCTTTTTGGACAAGCTGCAAATAGAAAAGTTGTCTTTTGGTTTCAAAAGCATTTTAAATCTTCTTTGGGTCAAAGTGTTTCTTTTAAGAAGGATCCAGACTTAAAAATTAACAAGCTTCTGGGAAAAATAAGTATGCTGTACAGTGAAATCTGTGGTAAAAGGAGGCAGGAAAGCAGCTGTTTGAGGCTTGTAGGTGGTTTGTGGTGATCCAACCAAAAAGGATAGGGAGCTATTTGTCAGCATCCCCATGGTAGATGAGTGAGACATTGGTAGGTTGGGAAATTGATTGGGAGAATGTGATACTGAAGGATTTGGTGAGAACTTAATATGTTTGAAGTGGCAGTTTGTTGAGTTCTAAATTCATGGTAGTCTGTTTTAGGTGTGCATGGGGTTTTCATGATTAAAATCGGAACCAGGCAAAGCAATGATTTCAGCATGATTGGCCAGTTCTACAAAATTGCTTTGTTAAGTAGTTAAATTTAACAACAAGGTAGGAATGTTAAATATTTGTTTATTAAAGCTATTTGGCACTTGGGGGTGAAGGGGGGAGGGAGAGGTTGATTCAATCTGATCATTTGCATTTGAGATACAATATTGTAGCAAACAAATATAGTGTTGGAGTTGGATGAAATAACTTTAACTGAAGATTTTAGTGACATATTCCAGTGTATTCAATTCAAGAGAAAAGGATTTACACAGGTGGAGAACTGGGTCCAGTTCTGGGCTCCCCAGTTCAAGAGACAGGGAACTGCTGGAGAGAGTCCAGGGAAGGGTGACAAAGATGGTTGGGGGGTTGGAGCATCTCCCTGATGAGAAAAGGCTGAGAGAGCTGGGACTGCTCAGCCTGGAGAAGAGAAGGCTGAGGGGAGACCTTCTTAATGCCTGGCAGTATCTCAGGGGGGGTGCAGGAGGATGGAGCCAGACTCTGCTCAGCAGTGCCCAGGGACAGGACGAGGGGCAACGGGCACAAGCTGGAACATGGGAAGTGCCACTGAAAGAGGAGGGAAAACTTCTTGCCTGGGAGGGTGACAGAGCCCTGGGACAGGCTGCCCAGGGAGGGTGTGGAGTCCCCTTCTCTGCAGATATTCCAGCCCCTGGATGCAGCCCTGGGTGATGTGCTCTGGGTGATCCTGCTTTAGCAAGGAAGTGGGACTAGATGATCTCTGGAGGTCCTTGACAATTCTGTGATGTGGTTATCCAAGCAGAAAGTAGCTGACAGACATCACAAACTTAACTATGCCCTTAATTTTCCCTTAAAATCTGGGTATGTCTTTCTGATGCATTTTATTTAAGGATGTTACCTTGGTCTCTGGGATTACTGTGAATTCAGGGAGCTTTGTGCAGCATGTTACTGGTGGCTGTGGATTAGGGGTGGTTTGTGTTGGAGCTCTTGGTCCACTAGGGCTTGTTGAAAGTAGCTTTGGCTGGGAAGTGTTTCCAATATGATGCTGCAGAACACCCAGGTGACACTGCTGCTGTTTGGTGCTAAGAGTGTCATGTTAGCTTGAAACTACTCAGATAGTTGGGATGATTTAGGCATGTGGAATAAAAATTGTGCATAGTACACCAATAAGAATGGCTCATTTTGTATAGTTGGCTTGATCTGAACTTGTAGGTGCTGGTTGTTGCTTGTCCAGCCAGTTCCTTCTGTTCTTGCTGAATGCTTATTGTTCACACCAGCTTTCTGCCAAAGAAAACTGAGTGTTTGGTGGGGTGTTTTTGACAGCGGGGCTTTGGAAGACACTGAAATGCTTTAAAACAAAAAAAGAAATGTTCTATTTCAGTCTGAGAAAGTTTTTAACTATTTAGTTTTGCTTTTGTTGTCTCATTTTTAGCGTCGGCTTCGTCATCTTCGGAACATTGCTGCAAGGAACATCATCAATAAGAATGGTTATCGTCTCTTGGACACGTACTTTACTCTTCATTTGTGTGATAACACCAAGATATACAAAGGTAAAACCAGGTTTTTCAATTTTAGCCTTCAAATTCTTATTTTATAAATTTTCTGTCCTTCCTTTGCCTTGACAACCTGTTGCCATTGTTTGCGTCATGTAATAACAGTGGAAAAGAGCTCTTTAATTTCTTGAACTTCATAAAAGCTTTAAGTCTTAGCAGGCAAGGAAGCAAAACAGATGACAGATTTGGTAGAGCCTCTTAAATCAACCTATTTTTGTTGTTGCTCTCCTCTCCCCCCTACTGATAATTTAAGAATTCTGGGAACTTCCGAGAGCACAGACAAGTTAAAGGTTTTGGAGCCTTAATTGTGTTGTGTGGGGAAGAGTGTGTACCAGTTATTTTACAGAGCATTAACCAGTGCTTCCTGTCATCCAAGTTTTCCAAAAATAGGGTTGTCAGCCACTGACACGAGGTATCCAGGCATCTGTTCTGCTTTTGAGAACTGTTTGAGTGTTAGATCTCATTTATCTTTAAGGCTTTGCTCTCCACTACAGTTCTTCATTGGGTAGAGTTGTTACTAAAATACATATTTTTGTACTTCTTTTGATATAAGCAACAATTGGACCTTTCCAAACCAATTTTGCTGTTTTTTCTTCCTAATTTTTATTTCCAGCTACTGTAGCTGATCCTTCCTTTTCTTTCAAGGCTTGTTATTGTAGGATGAGAACACGTAACTTTAGCAGGCTGCCTGAACTCTTGTGGTGGTTGGTTGAACCTGTAACCATTGTTGCTTCAGTGTTTATTACACAAAACTACTCTGCACTCTATCAAAGCTTTATCCTTGGACTCCAATGGACAGAGGTTTCCTGTACAAAATCTAGATTCCAGCCTCCAGAGCTGTGTGTCTACTTGAGAGAGTCCAGCAGAGGCTACAAGGATCATTAAGGGACTGCAACACCTGGCTTAGGAGGAAAGGCTAAGAGACATGGGGCTTTTCAGTCTAGAGAGAAGAAGACTGAGAGAGGATCTAATGTGTATAAATATATGAGGGTTGGGCATCAATAAGGCAGGGACAAGCTCTTTTCACTTGGGCTCTGTGATAGGATGAGGGGCTTAATTCAAACTTGAGCACAAGAAGTTCCACCTCAACATGAGGAAGAACTTCTTTCCTGTGAGGGTGACAGAGCTCTAGGACAGGCTGCCCAGAGAGGCTGTGGAGTCTCCTTCTCCGGAGACTTTCAAGACCTGTCTGGATGTGTTTTTGAGTAACCTGCCCCAGTTTTGGTCCTGCTCTGGCAGGGGGGTTGGACTCAATCTTCAAAGGTTGCTTCCAGCCCCTAACATTTTGTGATTCTGTCTACCTAAAGACTTTAAGCTCTTATTTTGGCTGGGATAGCTGAGGTCCATATGTCAGCAGTTGCTTATTTCCATTTAAATACAGGGTTCTTGGCACCTTGGTGAGGTAATTTAGCTGTTCACTTTCTAAGCATCTGGAACAGGTCACCCTTGCTCTTCAGGAAAGCAGTGCAATTAGTTTACCCATGCTGCACTCCTCCAGGAAAGATGTTGTATGACAAACTAGGCACTTTGCAAATGTCATCCAAATACTCTGAAGTACTGGGGCACGTCCTTTCCCCAAGAAACAAAGCCTCAGTAAATCTTGAGGATTATCTTGGGTATAAAGATGAAATGCTAAATTGAAAACATGGCTTCTAATAATTAAGTGTGGATGAGTGCTTTTTAATCAAAAGCATGACGACGTTTTAAAAGTCTTTCTCATGAATCTGTTACTGATAAACTAGACTCACCAGGATTTGTCTTCCATGAGTGTTACTTATTTTAGCTATTTCTATTTCAAATGCTAATATTTGTATCGGTGTTTAAGTAATCTAAAGGTGTTCTTTTTCTTCATTTTTCTTTAGAATTCTATAAGAGTGAGGTGATCAAGAATTCTCTGGTAAGTTATTTTAATATGGAAAAAATGCCTATTGAAAATTGTATTATTGCTGCAATACACTGATTTCCCTGCTGAATACACCAGACCTGTTGAAAGTGTTATTTCTACTCTTCAGCTCTGTTTGGAGCATCATGTTCTCCTTTTCAGGTTCTTTTCACAAGGGTTGGAGTAGCAAGTTACTGAATAGTAGAAATGCAAGTTCATTTTCCACTATCTGAAGGGAGCCTACAGGAAAGCTGGGGAGGGGCTTTGGAAAAGGGCTTGTAGTGAAAGGACAAGGGGTGATGGTTTTAAACTGGGAGAGGGGAGATTTAGGTTGAACATCAGGAAGAAATTCTTTCCTGTGAGGGTGGTGAGACCCTGGCCCAGGTTGCCCAGAGAAGCTGTGGCTGCCCCATCCCTGGAAGTGTTCAAGCCCGGGTTGGATGGGACTTGGAGCAACCTGGTCTAGTGGGAGTTGTCCCTGCCCATGCAGGGAGGTTGGAACTAGATGATCTTGAAGGTCCCTTCCAACCAAAATAATTCTATGATGATTCTGTGATTTTAACAGCTTTGGAGTAATGGTCTTTTGGTGCTTCTGCATATGGGATTAAACACTCCAAGGGGAGGGCATTTGCAAGTGAAAACTCTTCCATGCTGAAGTTAAACTTTACAATGCATGTAAACTTTAAATGTTAAAAATTGCACATAAGCCAAGTAATGTTAGCTGGATTTTTTTTTACTGGTTTAACTTCCTTCTGCATCTGAGAATCATATTCATCATAACTCAGGTTTGTTTAGAGTTCATAGTTTGTTTTCTTTTTTTGTTCCTGCCGGTGTTAGCAACAGAAATAGCTGCTTTTATTTAAGTGTCTTATGAATTGCTTGTTCAAAGAGCACTTGAATATTGACTTTGCTGTGAGTAGATTCATTAGAAGCTCATGCTGTGCAGTTTAGCAGCCCTGGTGTAGAGGCAGAGGCCCTGGTTGCAACATCCCCCAAAAAAGGGAGAGTCAAACAGTGTTGTAGAATATATATCACTGACTTCTTTGAACATCTTTTTGTTGTACAGGTGGATGGTAAGGAGCATGTACCTGCATGTAGAAACGTGGGTTTTGAAGAGCTGAACACTGAGAAGCTGAAGTTTGAAAACATCTTAGTGTTTAAATGTTCCAGTTCAGATTAGTGAAAGGATCAGAACTGGACAGTTTGTGACAGCTGAGAAGAGTTAGGTGTCTTTGTGGGAGAAGGATGTTGCAAGTCTTGTGCAAGGAAGTTTGAAAACCTGCTGAGGAGGCTTTTTCATGTTTGCATTAACAAGGTGGAACTGCAGCATTTATAGCACATTGGGCTGATGTTCTATAATGGTTTGAAAACCTGAATTGGAAAGAAAGTTCTCTGCATCCTCTGGGCTGTTAACTTGTCTAAGAAACAATTTCCTTGAGGCTTTAGGATGTTGAGTTCTGGCTATTCTAAATAAGAAAAAGGAATAAAAAAAGGGAATCTAACTGAAGGAAATAACAGATGAATGACATAAAAATCTAAAAATAAGGTGTCTTGAGCAAATAACAAATGTCATCTATGGGTATTTTAAGAGCCTGCTACTCTACTGCCTTAATAGCTACCAAATATCCCTTTTCCTTAGGAAAACTTATTAACACATTCCTTCTGTAATACTTATTGGGCAACTTTGTCTCTCCCTTCTTTTCAGAGGCATCTTACTCTAAATTGCACAATACCAGCTGAGAGATGCTTGGCCTGTTCCAAGCAGTTAAACACTTGGAGGCAAGACTTGTTCTTTCATGAGGGGAGGGGGGGTTCCTACCTTCGGCTTTTCTTTTGGAGGTGTTTCCATTGCTGTGTGCAAGAGAGAGGGAGATCATATATAGTTAACACTTTCCCATGTCTGCATTTGGACACCTATATATATATATATCACACTTTCCCATGTCTGCATTTGGACACGTTGTGGTTTAAGGGCTGTGGAAGTCCAAAAGTTGGTATCCGGCTCTTGGCACTAGTAGTGTTGGATTGACTTGGTTTGGTTGCAGCTGGGGCCAATTCCAATGGTTTCCATAAATCTTCAATGTAACTGTTAGCATAGGTGAATGCAAGTTCTTTGAATGCCTTGTGTTTGCAAATGTGAGTTCCAGTGGAGCAGATATTTGCAGTTTAGCTTAATGTGTGATGCTTCTGTAGAGCTCGAGATGCTCAAGGAGCTCTTAGGGACAACATCTGAGGACTGCTGTCAGCATCAGTCAAGAAGAAGAATGTGAACAAACCTGCCAATAAATTATGCAAATGTAATGATTGAGCAAAAGATCAGTGTTTACATTAACACTTTTGCAATGTAAGCTATACCCTAGTTTTCAGAAGCTGAATCATAACTTTGAAAGGAATGTTACTTTCACTTTTAAAGTTCCAGATTTGATTCAGCTGAATTAGTAAATTCTGAAGTAAATTCTTCAACATCTTGTGAAGGAAGCAGAGCCCACTCTAAGCTTCTGAAATACTTGTAGCTTTTAACCCAGGAATTCTCTCTAGAAAACACAATAAGGAAGGAGCAGAGCTTGTTGGCTTCAGCTCTGTGCAAACCTTGAAATTCATTCATTATTCATTATTCGTTATTAAGGTTTTTAAATCTTTGACATGGACTTTCTGAATGGTCAATTTTAGAACTACTTTCAGCTTGTTTTTATCCCTCTTTGAATACCTACAGAATCCAACGTGGAGGAGTCTGGACTTTGGAATAATGCCTGATCGTCTTGATACCTCTGTCTCTTGTTTTGTTGTGAGGATCTGGGGTGGCAAGAAGGAGCATTTCCAGCTTTTGATTGAATGGAAGGTCAATCTAGATGGCTTAAAATACTTGGGCCAGCAGGTAATGTAAACATGTTTTCTCTCAGCTTTTTCCCAAAGTAACAGGGCATCTGGATGAACAAATATATGGAACAAGAAATGAAATGAGAAAGGAACTGAATGCATTTGTAGGGCTTATTTTAAAGTTGGATTGCAGAGGTTCAGGTAGCTTGGTGCAGAGCTTTAAATCTGGACTTGGCTGAGTCTCTTAAATGACACTGTTAGCACTTGGTGCTTTAAATTGCAAAGCCTGGATTCAAAGAAATAGCAGCATGATTGTACATGTAGTTAAATGAACATGGATCATCATGTTTGTATTTTACAGGTGGAATCCATTCTTATGGGAATTTCATCCCATCAAAGACCTTCAGTCCGAGGCAGTTACTGTATAAGATCTGTTTTGATTCTGGGATTTTTCTCTTACTAGTAGCCTTCTGAAAGAGGTGAAAAGTGAGATGTTTTCTGTGTTATGGAGGTCAGAGTTAAGTGTCTTAAAAAGAAATCCATGCTACGTAAATATTAAACTAGCCAAAAAGTACTGTGCCTTTTAAATCAAATAGACTGTCCTGATTCCAGTGGGCACTTCTTGATTGAATCATTGATCTATTCTAAATTGAGTATACCATACTTTATTTCCCACTTTAAAACTAAATTATTTTATTATTATTATTTTTTTTAATTGGCATGTTTTAAAACCTGGGAAGAAAGCTTTACTGGGAGTGACTGCTCTAGCTCCACGTGGTGTTTTGATCCTGGCTGACTCAGTCACATCCCACCAGTGGTGGGGCTGGGAGACAGTCAGAGGAGCAAGAATGAGGAAGAATTAGTAGGTTGAGGTAAAGACAGTTTAAGAACAGAAAGGAAAGAAAAAGAACTGAGGGGAGGAGAACAAAATGAAAGTCCCTTACCACCAGCAGGCTGATGCCCTGCTATACCCCAAGCAAGAACTACCTTGCAAAGACTCATCCCTGGTTTTCAGTGCTAAGCAGGATGTTCCATGGTGTGGAACATCCCTTGGGTCAGTTCAGCTCAGCTCTGCCCTCTCCCAAGCCTTTGCACATACTTGCTGGGGGGGCACAGTGAGAACCAGAGGGCTCCTTGGTGCTGTGCCAGGACTTTTCAGCCATGTTATTCTCGTGGGAATGACATCCCATCAAAGACCTTCAGTCCAGGGTGGTTACTCTGTAAGATCTGTTTTGATGAATAATGTGTTACTGACACTGGTTTTGTTGCACATCTGAAACACAGCAGCACAGAGACAGCATCTCAGCTAAACCAAATGCCCTTTGTGTTGTAGCTTTCTTTCCACTTGTTTTTTCCTCACCAGAAGAAATGGATCCCTAAATAATATGCTCTAGTGCCTGGTTTTATTTGAAATTATGTTCTTTACATCAGTAGCAGGTTATTAGTAAAGTACTGACCACTGATTTTGTGTCTGCTATGACTACAAAAGCCTAATTTGGAATATCACTTCAGGTAATATGTCAAAGCTAACTACTCTTTACACTTAACCTCTTTGTTTAGTTTCCTGGCCTCTTGGTTATTTTTGTCAGCTGGAAATGCAGTAACAGGAAAGGTGCTTTGGCCAGTGCTTCTCATTTCAAGGTAGAATGGAAGAACATACTCAGTGATTGTTATTAAAGCTGTGAAGCAAATGCATTTTCTCTGGTTAAATGCAGTTTTCTCTTAGGTTTCATGAGCATCTAGAATTACAGGGATTGCAAAACTGCATTTGAGTATCAACCAGCAACTTGTGGTGGTTGTCAGTGTCATAGTAAGCTGACTGTAAAATGATTTGTGCTTTTACAGATACATGCCAGAAACCCAAATGAGATTATTTTTGGTCTCAATGATGGTTACTACGGAGCTTCATTTGAACAGAAGGTAAGGGTATGTTGTTAGTACTGGTGACGAGCTGAAATTAAACTTCTAAACTTCAATTTTGACACTGGGGAGCTCAAGACATGAAAATGCTTAGTGTTCAGAAGAAATACTTCTTTGACATGACAGATAAGAACTGTTCATCTCACCTCTGTTGCGTGGACATCTGAGCTGTTCTGGGAAAGCTTAAAGCATAACATTTAAAGTCCAAAAAAAAGCCTGGTTATGGAAAATAAGCCTTGACTTTATTCTTTGAGGAAGAAGCTTAATTCACATCTAGAACTTTTTGAAAAAGGTATGGCTGTTAAGACTCCTTTTCATGGCGGATACAGAAGAACATGAAGTTTTGGTTCTCCCTCTGAAAACCTGACTTTTGTAGCTCTTAAAATGAAAAGCTACTTATTTCCTCTGTTGCAGCTGGTTCACCCTGTGCTTTTTTCCCCCAGAGGCTCCACCATAGTATTTGACTTCATCAATATTTACAAATACATTAAGGGCAGTGTCAGGAGGAGGGAGCCAGGCTTTGTGCAGTGATGTCCAGTGACAGGACGAGGGTCAGTGAGTGCAAACTGGAGCACAGAAGGTTCCATGTGAATCTCAGGGAGAACTTCTTTGCTGTGAGGGTGACAGAGCCCTGGGCCAGGCTGCCCAGAGAGGCTGTGGAGTCTCCTTCTCTGGAGACATTCCAACCCCCCTGGCCACGTTCCTGTGTGATGTGCTCTGGGTGCCCCTGCTCTGGCAGGGGGGGTGGGCAGGATGATCTTTTGAGGTCCCCTTACAACCCCTAAGATTCTGAGTGATTTGTGCTTGTCCAGCCAATACTGTGACTGCAGCCAAATTAATTATATGGCAAGACTGATTAAAGTCTTTCATCATTAGTGTAATAAACTTACCTATTGTAAATAGCACAAGCTGACAGGTTTTTTTTAATCCCAAATAGCTGGTGGCAGTACTGTCATACAGATAGGTTGGATAAAGAGTCCCTGACTGCAGAGAAAATCACTTCTTGACAAACAGCTGCAGTTTCTGCATTAATCCACAACCAGCAAGTCCAGTCATGTGTGAGTTTGGACAGAGGCAATGGCTTTATAGTCAACAACACAGCTCTTGTGTGGGGAGAGCAGAGCAAGAGGTGGGGTGGCCGTGTGTGCAAAACTCCCTGGCTGTGTGTAAGGCTCCAAACAGTGTTGGGTGATTTGGGGGATACCCTGCAAATTGTAAATTGTTTGGTACAGAGCTCAAACTCTGCTTCCTGGTGCTGCCAACTCTGTTTTCCTGCATCAGGATGCTATGCTGGTTTTTCATGGTTTCAGTAATAACTATCTGGGCCTGAACTGAATGATGTCCTCTTTCCTGGTTTGTTGTTGTCAGGACTTGCTTCTTAGCTTGTAGGATTTAAAAGTACATCTCTGTGTCCTGATCAGATGGCAGATGAGATGTCTCTGCACTGCTTGAGAGCTGTTACATATGACACCAGGGTCTTACCCCCTTAGCAGGCACAAGCACAGCCAAATGGTTGGGAAATTGGGAGACTGGAACAGAAGCTGCGGTTAGAATGCAGAAGGGTCCTCTCAGTAAAATGTACTACTAGTAGTTAGATCAAACAGTAAAGGTTAACCATTAAAATGTTATCAACTTATTAGTAAGTTTTATACAAGGCCTGGAATATTAATTATCGACTTGAAAAGGATTCTAGAATCTTAAAACTTAATGATGAGCAATTGCTTAATATTAAGTGCACTAAAAGACAATAAAGGAGTTAGTATCTCCCACGCTTGCCTGGCCACAGTTGGGTGTCCTTGGGTGGGCCTTAATTATCAAGAATCAGTCTCTCTGGCAGGTGTCCCTGCTGGAGAGGAGAAGGTCCAGCAACCTCCTGGGAAAGTGAATGGGATTCTCCCAATCAAAGGTGGGAGCAGGCTTTTATGGAAGAAAGTAGAGTGACTACTGTCACTTAACTATTTAGCTGTACCTCCTAAATCTCTCATTGGAGAATAAAAAGAAAACAGTAGAAAAAAAACTAACAACCCCCAAAGGTCTCATTCCCACCAAGCAAACTCTTGCTTATCTCTTCTTAATTTTATCTCCATTTTGGAGTTGTCTTGGTGGGCTCTATGTTCTTCAACACTGGAGAGCAGCTGGTGTTATGAGCATCAGTTTGGCCTCTGTTTGTACCTTTCCATGTTGTTACCAGCTCAGAGCTTGTTAAGCCCTTTCCTTTCTCATGAGAATCCTTTCACTCCAGGTCTGGGCCTGCAGAATTGAGAGGCAAAAGCAGTTGAATCACAGTGGACAGATGAGTGAGGCATATTGAGATGGAGTGTCCTGCTACACTCTGGCTTGGTTCTTGTTCATGCCCTGTAGCTAAATTGCAAATACAATCTCTGGACAGCAAAGATAATCTGCTTCTTTATTTCTGTAATTTATTGGGTTCTTTCTTGCTGCCAGTGCTAGAATTTTTTTCACCTTGCTCTGTAGCTTCTGATTGCTTTCTTTTTCAGTTCCTTGACCTGAATCTCTTCTTCTGTAGGACCTACCTCCTGTATTTAGGTGTCTTGTCTGCTGTTCAAGCCAAACTAGTTGGCACAAGCAAACGTTTCCTTCAGACTTCAGAAGCTGTGTGCACCTAAGGGGTATTTCTGCTCTTAGTTGGTCATGCTTTATAATTTTCCTCTGTGCTGGATATTCTAATTATTATACAGCCCCACTTTGATCTTTAAATATTTTTATGAAGTGCCACCTGAAATCTTCTGTAAGAAGGGATTTTTGGTGTCAGGTGTGTGGCTCTGAGGTGCTTCTTCCTTTGTGGCTGTGTGTCTTGACAGTACTTGAAGACAGTTTAGTCATAAGCCTCCATTTTTGAGGTAATACATGGATAGAATAACAGCTTTAGTTTCTTTGCCATGGCACATATGAAACCTTGTTATGAAAATCAATGTGTACAAATACCATTTTGCAAGTTCTAATGAAAAGCTTGTGCACAATGACAGTCATTGGAAGTGTCCTCTGTTTTTGTACATCTCAGTATGGACAAAATTAAGGCATGGGACTTTTCTGAGCAATGGGAAGTCTAAAAAAATTCTCATTGTTCCTTTAATAATCCTTTTGACTGAATTGCCAAAGTAAATTTTTGCATTCTTACAATATATTAATGTATTAAATGGCTTTGTCACTAAGACCACTTATGAGCCAAAATAAAACTGCTAGAAGCTGACTAAAACATTCTGGTGATGCTTCATGAACTCAGAGTTTCAAAACTCCCTGTAGTTGTACTTCTGAGCATTCCTTGATCCATCTGGAACTAAATGCAAATTCCCATTTTCTATCCTTTGAATGTACTTGTAGTAAGAGAAGTGGGAGCCTGAACACAAGTGAAGTAGGGCAGGAATATAGGGCACTGTCACCACTTCTTTTTATTTACGAAAAGTGTAGGTTTATTGATCAAATTGATATCTCTCTGGTAATCAAAAAAGCAAAAGCTGCATCCCCATATAGGGATATTATAATAAGTGGTTTACTCTAAAATCAAAATACTGGAAGCTAACAGCTTTGCTAGGTAATACACTTTAGCTGCTGTTTTAGAAACTTCAAGCTCACTTTCATGCGAGGTAACCTTTGAAGTGCAGGTTTGTGCCCAGAAATACTTGCTTTGTAGGAAGCTCCTGTCATAGAAATGAGCAAAGCAGAAAACTGGATCAGCAATTATTGTCTTAACAGAAGAAAAGAACCATATTCTTGGTCTCTTTATTGTTGTAATATCATCGTTGACTCTTCCCTTTTTACTACTGATGTCAGAAAGGCTTTAAATACTGTATCTTGGATAGTCAAGAGGTATTAGGAATTTTACCTTTCTTCCATCTCCTCTGTCCAGCAACAACTAACTTGCCTGTTGCTGACAGGCAACGAAAAAATGAACGTTTTCTTTGGGTAATGTTCTTAGCCAAGTTCATAGAATCATAGAATTGTTTAGGTTGGAAAAGACCTTTAAGTTCATCCAGTCCAACCATAAACCTAAGCCTACCAAGTCAACTGCAAGACCATGTGACTAAGTACCACATCTACATGACTTTTAAAAACAAACAGCAGTGGTGAGCCCACCACTTCTCTGGGCAGCCTGTTGCAGGGCTTGACAACCCTTTTTTGGGAAGAATTTTTTCCTAAAATCCAACCTAAGCCTCCCCTGGTGCAACTTGAGGCTGTTTCCTCTCATCACTTGTCGCTTGGGAGAAGAGACCAGCACCTGCCTCTCTACAGCCTCCTTTCAAGCAGTTGTAGAGAGCAAAAAGGTCTCCCCTCAGCCTCTCTCTCTCCAGACTAAATAGCCCCCAGCTCTCTCAGGCTCTCCTCACCAGACTTGCCCTCAAGACCCTTCCCCAGCTCCATTGCCCTTCTCTGGACACATGCTCAAGGTCTGGCCTCTCCAGAGCTGAGTACCTGGGCACACTGCTGGCTCATGTTCAGCCGTTGCAGTTTTCTTGCTGCAATGGATACTTAGCTCATGGCCAAAAAAACCCCCAAAAGTTGGGAAATAAGATCTCAAAAGCTTTTATGTGTGCCCTCTGAGCCCTGAAGGGTGTTGCTGCTTTGCTGTGGGTGTCTGACAGTGCTTCTGTAACTCCTCTTCTGGTGTTTCCAGCTTTTCTTCTCAGTGAGAACAAAAATGTGTGCTGCCAATGTAGCTGCCTTGTTCAGAACTCCATTTGACTTTCACATCATTGTACCTACAGCTTCTGCTTTGGTTCAAGTGTTTTTAATTATTATTTTGTAGTAATTTTACTAGAAGATCAGCAGGATTTTGCTTCTTTCTTCACATCAATCTCCAGTTTATTTTCCTGTTTCCTTCCTGACATGGGACCACTTGTTCCTCCCTTAGGTTCATCCTATCTAGTTAGTCATACGGTGAAAGTCTATTTGTGTTTGCTTGGACCAATGTTTGGATGAGAGAGATTTCAACTTTACAGGGTTTTTTTGAAGCTGTCAACCTGGACTTAAGGTATTCTCAA